CGACTTTTTATTTATAGCGCCTAATCTATGAGAAACCTATGAAAGTTTTATCACCCAGTTAGATACATAATTTAAAAAAACTGCTTTCAGATCAGTCCATCCATTTGGGAGCTACAATGCCACAGCCAGACAGACTTTTTTTTATACAATATTATCATAGTGACGGGACCAACAAGTCATGAGCCTGATGGTAAGCTACACGCCTGTCCATAACAGTTGCAGTGCCACTCAGAACTTTAAATCGCAAAGATCTGAGGGGCACTGCCACTGCGCCCATCACCCTGAGACATAAGTGAACAAGTCCCATGTGCCTGTAATTTCACCAGCACCCTTACCCTTCAAAACCGGAACGAAATAATGCTGACATTTCTGCTTGGCGGCAGAAATAGGTAAGGTGGCAGTACTAACCTGGATGAACTCTTTCACAAGGAGCTCTACTGCCACTAAACTACTTCTCTACATAGAGGCTGTAGGCGGGAACTACACCTACTGTTAATAAGTGTAGAATTCGGCAACCATAACACCCGGCCTTGCGGGCAATGCCGGTGAAGTTTTAGTGGGGTTTTCCCTCCCCTATGGAGGAGAATACTCCATAACTGGCGAGCCTCCCCAGACTCGGTCGTATGCGTAAAGCATTTCTCCACCGTAAAAAAAGGCGGGAACTATGTAAAAAGCACTTGGAAATCACACTGTAAAATTTACGGTAAATGCGATTACTGTTCACGAACGGGTTAAATTTTCTATAATAATAGATTTTCTACTGCTACTAACTACGTCGGCGGTTAAATAACACTACTATGCTTACCAAAGCCTTTAGTTATATCGAAACATGAAGCAAGAAAACACACAGTAAAACCCAAACTTGAAAACCCCATTACGGTGCTCTAATAAATCTATCTTAACGCAAACAGATTTGAAACGCATAACACTTGTATGTGCAATACAGTGTACACAAATTTGTCACTCGAATAGGAAGGAAAATTGTAATGTATTTTTGTTTAGCATCTCTTACTCATCGAGGTTCTAAAATAGCAACCGTATGATAGTGCAAAGCGATTTTGTAATTTGTTAATGTTTTATTTTTATTAAATTATGTGATGGGGCGAATGAGTATACCCTAGTGGCGCCAGGCGGCACGCCTATACATAACAGTCGCAAATACCTTAAGGGCACTGCCACTGTACCCGCCACCTTGGAACACAAAAGTTGACAAGTCCCATGTGCCTGTAGTTTTGTGACGATATTGACCTCTTTCATTGTCACCCTACCTTTTTGTCACCATCTTTATTAGGACCTGGCCACTTCATTTTCAAATTTTGAATCGTTCTCGAATTCCTTCTCCTTCTACTGTCTTTACGTCAGTTCGTTCCGTCGCCAATCCCATCAAAATTCTCAAAACGAGAGGACGTGCTTAAACATCATCCTGATACAAAACTCAAACTTCACGTGATTTTGCTGTTTCTAAATCATTAGATATACGTATTATGCTATTTTAGGGTTAATTACCTGGCCTGTTTAGTAGGGAATATTTTATACTGATTGTACTTTTCTATTTTTGTCATTTGATTATTATAGCCTTTTAGTTTCTGTTTGTAAATAAATTATATGAACCGAGTCTTTTCGTGCCATAGATCTTTCTGTTCGCTAGCCATAGTTTTACTGGCTAAGCTTGAGGCCATAGCCAGTCACGCTGCTCCAATGCAAGTTGGAGCACTTTACACATTTCCTAACGACCCAAAAGTGTCGCTTATCCCATTTTGCCTTTCATGATTACTAATAATAATCTGAATTGAATCAAAATTGAATAACAATGATGAGCGGTTTCAACAAAATTAGCAGAATTGGAGGCTTGGTGTCAATACGATGTCCTTTACAATTATTACAATTATGAGTAGACAATAAGATAATTTAAGCCATCGAGTATATGACCAGAAATAGAGACGATATAAGGGCCATCCATCATTGGCTAATAAGGCAAATGGGCCTTATATCACCTTTAAATATCAACTCTCGTTTGAGCTGAAATCAGAAATAGAAAACTGAAATAGTACAGCGCCAACAAACGGACCTGTGTGTACGTCTCCATATATTCGAAAAATAATTACAAAACAAACGGAATCTCTCACACACAAATTTCATCGGTAATGAAATATTAAATATGTAATTTTTCAATTTTCGTCCATTATAGCAAAGCTCAAGTTAAAGTGGTCGTATTGAAATGACACAATTGTTTCAAACAAATGAAATTGCGTCTCTATTTCGGGTCATATACTCGATGATTTAAGCAGTCAATAATGATATTTAATAATAATTAACGTAGTAACGAAATCATAAAGGTTCAGTATTTCTTTTTTAACTGTACCATATATAAAATAATGGTGACACATTGTATATCAGTATACCCTGTCGTATATACATGCATTTCCAGTCAACATTACGTTGGGCGTCCAAAATTGTGATCTAATTCTTTTTTGTTGTTTATTTAGTACCACAATACATAATTTTATGTTAATTACAACTCCTCTAACATTAATCTAGCTGCCATAACAAAAAACACAAAAGTAAACTTAGTTGGCTAGTATCTACTCACTTCATAATTTTTATTAAAAAGAAGGAACCGACTTCAAACTTTGCTTATTTGCTTATTGCTTATTTGTTTAAGGTAACAATCGGTTACCGGAAAATGCGCGAAGCCGAACTTATCCCTTACTTTACTACACTTAGAGGTCGAATATTTTTTTTTTAATAAAATGGGACTAATACTGACGTAAGTATCCTTTTTCCAACAAAAAAGAATCATCCAAATCGGTTGATAAATGCGAGACATAAATGGAGTGACTTCTTTGGGTTCTCCAGTAAAAATGGGTGTTCCGCAGGGCTCAATACTTGGACCTTTCTTATTTCTGATTTATATTAATGATCTGCCATTCTTTGTTAAAGACCATTGCGAAATAGTGTTGTTTGCTGATGACACATCCTTGATTTTTAAAACAGACAGACATGACATTAACTATGATCGTATTAATGATACCCTCTCTAAGGTAGTTTATTGGTTTAAAGCTAACAATTTATTGCTTAATGCCAAGAAGACAAAATGTGTTAAATTTGAATTACCTAACGTAAAATCGACTAGTCCAAGCATAGAAATAAACGGAGAAAAGTTAGACCTTGTTAATAAAGCAGTCTTCTTGGGAGTGACCTTAGATAGTAAACTTCAGTGGTTTCCACATATATCGTTCCTGGCCAGCAGATTAAGCTCCGCTGCATACGCAGTCCGCAGAATACGTGAGCTTACCGATGTTAGTACTGCTAGACTAGTTTACTTTAGTTACTTCCATAGTATAATGTCCTACGGGATTCTCATGTGGGGTAAAGCGGCAGATATTCAAACCATATTTGTATTGCAAAAACGAGCGATTCGTTCTGTGTACCGTCTAGGCTCTCGGGTATCTATCAGAGAAAAGTTTAAGGAGACTGGTATCATGACTGTGGCATCACAGTACATTTACTCAAATATTTTATATGCCCGTAAAAATATACATAATTTCAATAAGAAAGAAGATATCCATAATATTAAACTTAGAGCTAAGTCCAAACTCATGGTACCACGATTTCGTTTAACAAAGGTAAACAACTCTTTTATGGGGAACTGTATACGTTTTTACAATAAGATTCCAGAGCATATATTAAGTGTATCATTTCCTAAGTTTAAAAACTACATTAAAAATATTTTGATCGAAAAATCATATTACAAAATTGAAGACTACGTGTTCGATAAAGATGTATGGAAAGACGACATGGCTCCAGAATCCACACAAATTTGATTCAAAGTGTATTCCATAGCATTTAAGTTTATTTGAAAAGAGCAATCCCTAGAGTTTCTTGCTCGTTCTTCTCAGGGAGGTCAGCGTAGTGAACGAGCAGTAGCTTAAACGTTTTCAAGTGTAAATTTATTTTACCTATGGAATAAATAAATTTTGACTTTGACTTTGACTTTGAGAGTAATCGCATAAAACGGTACCCAACTTGCAATTATTTGAAAAGTTGTTGGATTTCGAAATAAGTGCCATATTCGTAATACGCACACCCAAATACTTACTTCAAAAGTGATACTCGTTTTGCATTTATTTGAAAAGTAGTGTCCGCCATCTTGGATTAAGAAATACATTCCATTTTCATAATGTTTACCACCAAAAATTAATTTTTGAAAATTTATGTCCACCATTATGGATTTAGAAATTAATACTATATTCGTAACAAGCACTCCCAAACACCTCGAAAATGATACCTATAATTATTGATGTTATTTGAAAAGTCCAGTACGGCATTTTGGATTTACAAATAAATGCCATATTTGTGTGTAATGAGCACCTACCAAAGCACCGTAGACGATAGCCATCTTAATTTTAATTGAAAAAGTCGTGTCCACCATCTTGGATTAAGAAATAATATCATATTCGAATAGATAATGACAATGAGTAAAAACTCATTCTTCAATTCTCAAACTTCTTCATCTAAAAATCATACTCAGCGCATCGGCGTCGCAAGGGTCCGCCATTTTGCTTTATAAAATATTAGCAAAATATAATTTTATTACCTAAAACTCCAAACAAAATAAAATTATTTGACCCACCTTTCTTCTGTCTGCCGAAACTGATGAAATTTAAAATTTTTATTTAGGCGAGGTGATGATACGTTGTCTCTAACAGAACAAACATCTTATATACATATGTACCGTTTTCCACTCAACAAATCACTACAACGGTCACATGAAGTATTTAACGGAAATGCCGCAACCCTGACTGGTGTGTCGCGAGCGAGTGTATAGCAGTTCGGGCTCGTACCCGCCCCTGTCTCGCCTCGCATGCCCCACACGATAGCTCTGTCTAGACGTGTCCGTTAGCCGATTGTAGGAATTAATTGGTTAGCTGTGTCCATAGGTTAGGTTAGGTTAGGCAGTTAAAAGCAGGCGATTAAATTAAACAGCAAAAGTCACATGAGTTATAATTTATTCGTTTTGTTTTATAATTACTTATATCAACATATTTCAAATTTATGTTTTTTTAGTAGCGTTGTTTCAATTTTTATAATCATTCTTCATTCTGCTCATGATTTAAACAAAATTGATATTTATTCTTCTTCTTTGCGAGCCATGGTTTTCTTTGAGCTCTAAATGTTATAATCTAACATTCATCCGCGTGTAGACAATCAATAGTGTTACATAGTCGAGCGCCATGATTTTACAGTGTAATAATAACTGTAATAACACAGATCTATTTATTTTATTTTTTGTGTTTTAATACGCCTATAATTTCAGCGTACGGAGTATCTTCCACGGGCCTTGGCCGATCGGTTTGAGATGTTGGAAAATCCAAATTTGCGTATGTTAATTCGTTACCCTGAAAATAAAACAACTGGTCAGTCATTTCATGTTTGACAATCTCGGAGACCCGATAGTCTCGGTGTTCTGTGTTCCGACGAATTTCGATGCTTTGGTGAAGAAAAGTTAAAGTAACGTTTGTATTTTTCTTACCTAAGTTAACCTAATTTAAGGGTATTATATCGTGATATCAACAATAGAATGTTCTGCCAATTAAGCCATGGAACGAATCAACAGTTATTATGAATTTTCCTGTGTCCTTGTTGCAGTTATTTATTTTTGGTTTTATAATGATTTTTTTGCCGTAGCTCTGTGTGAGAAATCTATTTCTTCATCCAGCCGGATCGAAGTTATTTTTCTTAGTGTTCGATCTTTGTAATAATAATTTATAACAAACTAGTGGAGTAATTTCACAAAAAAAAATTATGGTAGTACAACATCGTGACATTCAATAAACTTAAAAATAACAAAAGACTGTGTAAATGTACAATAACAAAAGAATGTGTTTAATAAATGAGCTAATTTTAAAATAAAAATCGTATCTTTGATATAATAAGGTCACATCTGCAAAAAGTACAATTTTTCAGGAGAGAGGTTTAAGTTTTAGATTCTTTGAATGAAATTAGTCGATAACTTTTGCGTGCTTATTTTTTTTTAATATCAGCTTAAATGGGAGAGTTATAATATTTTACATTATAGGTTTCTTGAAGTTCGTATTATTTTTGTCACTTTCACGCGATAAAATTTAAGCACTTTGACGTATGATTGTATGTGGTTTAATTGTAAGAAAGGTACGAAATACGTAAATAATAATATTAACAATAATTAACTTTGAGGTGGGCACAGTCAATAATGATCATAAACATAAGCCTCGTTCAAATGTCTGTCGCCAAAGTTTCTCACAAATGTTACTTTTCGAATTAGTTCACTTCATTGTTAAGGGTACGCAATTAAAGTAATTAGTAATAAGCCTCTACCGCAAGTACAGTTAGTGAGGGAACTATCATTCAGAGCGGATCGGTGATGGACTGTGATTCATCATCATCTAAATTGTAACGAATTCAGTATTTTCTATTTTTATGTTTTTATTCTAATTTTTACCGCATTAACATGCTCTTGTATAATTATCAACTTATGACGATCCTTGATGGAGAATGATATTTGATATGTAATTTAATGACAGCAATATTATATAATGAATTGTTAATTTTCTAATTATTGTGTGCTTTTCCTTTTTGTCTGACGATCTCAATATAATTTCTTATACTTTGACATGTAGTGCAATTTATACTGTAATGTTATATTTGAGAAATAAATGAATCTGAATCTGAATCAATCAATAGTGTAATATTTTATTTTAACATCCCGTAAAAAATGTCGTACCGTCAAAATTGCCAAAAACTGTCCATGTGGGAATGAATGTAATGTAAACGAGCGAATAGAATGTCTCTGATAGGTTTCGAGTAGTGAATGGGTAGAGTGAATGAATGGCAATTCGATTAGTTTCATTTAATATTTTCGTTACGTTTTGTTTTATAATGCCAAGAGACGGGATGAATAAGTCATGCGCCTAGTGGTAAGCAACACGCCTATTCATAACAGTTGAAGAGCCACTCAGAGCTTTGAATCGCAAAGGTCTTAACCGCCACTGCCCCCGTGACCTAGAGACATAAGTTGACAAGTCTCATGTCATATAGGCATAATTTCACCAGCACACTTGCCCTTCCAAATTGGAACGTAATAATGCTCATATTATTGCTTGGCGGCAGAAATTGATAAGGGAGCTCTACTGTTAATACATTGACTTATAAATAAATGGACGACGTGTCTTATACAAAAACAACGAAAAAAATGTCCCAAGTCAACCTATTTAAACGTAGTGACATGTCAAGGAATATGAAAAAGCTAAAACGTTGAATTTAAATTGTAATGTCATCGCAGTACTGTCTAATATTGCTTGCTTCGCTGTCAGTCGAACAAACGAAGACTAGAGCGTGAATGACGCTCTGTATACGATTTTTACACGCCCTATAAGTTCGGACACTTTATAGCGCGGACCCGACGTCCATATAATTGTAAGTCAATGTGTTAATAAGTAAATATGTGAAAAAATTGGTTTCCTTGAAATTATTCTCGGTTTATTGCCAAGGTAAATCTTTTGAACCGACGTCTTCTTGCGTACCGTCCAGACGCTATACCAACTAAGCCACGGAGCCGTAGCGCCGCCTATGAGAAATCTAAGTATTTCGTCACCCAGTTAGATGCCTTTACAGCTACCAGCCCCGGCTAGAGATGTCGCTATTCAATGCATTTTAAATTTTTATTGAATTGATATTCAATTATTTTTTATGTGAAATCACTAAAAAATAGTTGGCTAAAAAGTCGTTGAAAAACCAAATACAAAAACATTACAACGAGCACATAGAAGAATTCGTGAGGTCCGCTGGTACAAACCATTTGATTTTGGTAAACTGTGGGTCGCCAGTAAGTGTTCTTTGGGCTGACCTTTGACATAACCATCGCGAGCATACCTAAATTGTCATAGTTAAAAAAAAGCAGAAAGACTCACCCTTGTCAGTTCGTTATTTATAATTTTTCGATGTCTCCTTATCGCGAGTACCACCAAAAGAACTCCGACTATGACTAGAATTGCTAAGAATACTAATCCATAGATAACAAGCATTGGCATTTTTGCTGTGAATAAGAACGAAAATAAAATACCTTTAAATAAACAACACAAAGGAGATGCAAAAGGTCAAAATAATAATAATAATAGACAACATCACAAGTAACTAAAACACTTTTAAGAAATAAAGCTATTTTTTTCGGATCTAAATCGCGTATATTTGTTTTTCCAAATATTTTCGGATCTATAAAGGTCCCATGGTCACGGATGACTGAAAGAATAGACAAATATTTTTTTTGTTCCTTATTAACGTCATTACGTAACTAAACTTATAAATAGCTAACTTGAATTTTTACTAAAAAAACACCTTGATAAAAGACTGGAGCTCAAACTAGGTCTTAACCTGTGTGACAGATCTCCAGGCTCCCACCTCCAGATAAAACTGTTCTACTAGGTGCCTTAACAATATTTGCAACAGTAAGAAATAAATTAAAAAACAAATTAAAAGTAAAATGAACTTGTTAGTAGGGTTACCTGTCACAAGCTATAAACATGATTTACAGAATTTTGTTTCTCCGAAAATCTTTAGACTTTTATTGAATAGATTTTGTTTCCTTTATCCGAAAACACGTTACGGTTTTTTTATTACACCATTTAATATTTCACTATTTTGACATATTGACAAGTTCTACGTTTCCCGATTGCCATTTCCACCAATGGATCTAACTCAATATTTTGTTTTTGTAAAAAAAAAACGATATCCATAATACATTTTCTTTATATTATTTCTTATTACCGATATTTAGCGTGTTAGAACATGTCGCATAATACAACTCGTAAAATTGACATAGTGCAAGTTAATTTGATCGAGTTGTAGTACCCCACTTCCCTCGCTCAAATCGTGCGGCTTTTTCATATCCTGACCTAACCCGAACCTACAGGAGGGTGTCGTACCGGCTAGGAAATGCAAACAAATTCGGTTCTGGTACTCACTACGATTCAGTTACATGTTATTTCTTGAATACTGAAGACCATTGTTTTTATATTATATTTTAGATGACAGTCAAAAGATAGCACGTACAAAATGGTTTGATAAAATTCTGTAAGTGGGACTTGCAGTGCATCAGCAAAGTATAGTCCAGAAATTTGGAGCTTTACGGTAAAATTGTAAAATTGCACGGCGATATAATTTTATCGAAGAATAATATATCGAATCGAATTTTCAGCAATCTAAGTTATATGGAAAAAAGACCGTATTCGACCAAACAGACTTCTGCCCAAAGCATACATATGCGTAATAATTATTCTAATAATACGTTTTCGGACAAACGATGCTCCTGCTGTAAGACATTTCTGTGTTGCAAATTTTAGCTAAACCTGTCGTCGCACTAATGAAAAAAAGTCGAACTGTGTTCGGAATAATGAAATTCGGATAAAAGAAATTCGAGCTTGTGATAGAGTAACTGTTAGTTGGGCTGTTGTACGTAAAAAAACATGGGCGCTACGTTCAAATCAGGTTTTCTCTCCTTATTTCGGAAAGCAATGCTTTACTGTTTTTTTTTTTAATTTTGAACCTTGATTGTACGAAGTTTTCATTTACATTTATACATTTTAGTGGCCCGTGACAACCATATTGTAGGGTTGTTCCCTAGACTTTGTTGAACAGTACAGTTCACAGTTAAATGTTTAAGTATATTAAAATTATATAATAAGCATTTAAATCAATGCATTTGTAAAACTGATTTATTACTTACGAGAACTTGAGTCCACTACATATGGATTAGCATCTAGTAACGGTTTACCATCTGTAACGCTTTGCGGATTAAGTGTAGTTTCGTTGATCCCCTCTGTTGTTGATTCTGTAGTGGTGAATTCATCTGTAACGACGATAATTACAATAAAAGCTACTTGTGACGAATTTTCAACTGCATAGAGAATAAATTCTCAACATTAAATTATGTAGTACATTCAGAGGCTAGCCAGTTTTCTTCCTAGTTTCAGTTTATAGTATATAAGCTTTTATTGTACCTTACCTGTATATATTATCTTATTGTCTAATAATTAATAAAGTGACTTAATCTAATATAATACAGGTAAAACAAATTGTAAATAGAGCTATAATTTTATTAAAATCAACAATAAAAAGGACACTGTAGCCCCCTCCCATGTCCTTGCAAGCGTGGCGGCGCAGGCACTGTGGCCAGAGCGGCCGAGAACCGCAAAAGGTTCCAATACGCCAACCTTGCTCAGTGCTACAGCTTTGTACCTTTTGCGGTTGAAACCTTGGGACCGGGACCTGGGGGCCACAGGCGAAACTTCTAGCGAATGAACTGTCGGATCGCCTCGTAGAAGCTTCCGGTAACCACAAGGCTGGCAGTTATTACCGCCAAAGAATAAGTTTACTCGATGAAATTTTCTACATAAACTTTCTTACTTTTTTCTATGTATCTACCTGCTACTATATAACTTTAGGAAAATAAACAAATTATTATGCGTCTCATAAAAAGGAACCTTAATTTTCTAGTTTTCTTAGTAAAGCATTTCTTCATTTTAATCTTAGAACGTAATAGTTAGAATAATTTAGAATTTAGAATAATTGTGTAGTTGCGATGCCTAAACTAAGTAAATGAATACCTGTATTTTAGGCATCTCGTTTGCTTCATGAAATTTATTAAAGTTATACACGGGGTTGCACATCTAGCGTGCTGTAACCGTAACTATTGACAGTGTTGGGCAAAATTTAATTGTTCTGGCAATTAAAGATTGACAATTAATCAATTGTCAATTGCGAAACAGCAATTAACGATTGATCAATTGTGAGTTGCGAGAACCGCAATTAACAATTAATTAATTGTAATTGCGGTTCTTCCAACTAACAATTGATCAATCGTTAATCGCGTATATCTACAATTAACAATTAATCAATTTTCAATCTTTTCAATGTTTTTGATTAACAATTAAAACTGACAATTATAATAAATTTGTAGGGCATATGGGGGTGGGTTAGGTGGTCGGTTAGGGGGTGGATAAGGGGGTGAGTGAGTGGGTGAGTAGGTGGGTGAGCGGGTGAGTGGGTGAGTGAGTAGGTGGGTGAGCGGGTGTGTGGGTGGGTTGGGTTAGAGGGTGGGTCACTCACTCTTAACCGCGAATTGATTTAATTGCAATTGATGTCAATTGAATTAATTTTTTAATTTGATTGAATTTCTAATTGAAATGAAATGAAATGAAATATTTATTCGCAAGCAAACACGGTAAGAAAAGATATTATTATACAAGGTGTCAAGAACACGCGTTGCACCAGATACTGGCACGCAAATATTAAAATAAATTGAATTGAATTGAATAAATTGAATAAATTGAAGTTAAATAATGTCATTAACTAAAATTTGTCAAACTAGCAATGTCACATAAAATTATGTAAAAATGCCATTAAATAGCAACAGCAATAAAATCACAAATTAAACAATATCAAAGAAGTAAGAACAGCTCAAATATAAACAAAATGTCAAATACAAACAAAATGTCAATTTCTTTTTATTATTAAAAGATCTTTGAAATCGTATAAACACAGATCACATAGCAAATCAAATAACTTTTTTTAAAATATTATTATAATCTTTTAATAAATCTGCGATAGCTGCAGGCAAAGCATTATATATTTCTATGGACATGTTATAGCAATTCCTATAAAAGCAAGTAGTCTTATGTGAGAAGCCAGCTATGCGGTTTGGATATCTGGTTAAAAAATTACATACTTCACGTTTCCTAGTAAATAAGACCAAGTTTTTTTGACCAACATGCATACTTCATATACGTACATGGCGGGAAGCGTTAGAAGATTTAGCTTTCTAAAAAACGGTCTACAAGTTTCGAGCGGACCTACTCTACATATAGCTATGACACATTTTTTGTGGATAGCAAATACACGGTTTGGCTCTACGCAGTTATTATATATCCGCTCACGCGATGCGCTCATCCTACCGCAAAATGGCGGTTATTTGGTTTCGCAAATTAGAAAAGGATTCAGTTTAAATACAAGTTTTTATAAATAAAAATTATTATTCTGCATTGCTAAATAAATACCCTTCGTACTACAACAAAAA